CTTAAATTGCTTTCCTTTTTACCATAATCAGGTTGGTATCAACTATCAGCCGCCGACTGTGGTTCCAGGAGGCGATCTGGCCAAAGTTCAAAGGGCAGTCTGTATGTTGAGCAACACCACAGCCATCGCTGAGGCCTGGGCCCGTCTGGATCAAAAGTTTGATCTAATGTACGCAAAGAGAGCCTTCGTGCACTGGTACGTTGGAGAAGGTATGGAGGAGGGTGAGTTTGCGGAGGCCCGTGAAGATTTAGCCGCTCTCGAGAAAGATTACGAAGAGGTGGGAGTCGACACTCCCGAAGGAGACGGTGAAGAGGGAGAAGAATAAATGTAACTTTACTCTTAAAAGTTTTGAATATAGCAATAAATATCGACATTTCACGTTTGTTAGTCTTTTAGGCATTTATTATTCAGCATTTAAAAAATCTAGTCACCAATAGCCACTAATCAAACAGCTACAATGTACAGTACATTACATAAGGAGTGTTACAGGTTACCACACTACAGATAAAACAGTTCAAAAGGATTCTGCACCATTTATTGTCTTCATAAACAGAAAGTTGTAGATGGCTTCGAAGATTTATCAAAGCACAGCGACGGTGTGAATAAATGCTTTCTTCATTAAATGTCATTTGTTTGTTCTGTAGCAAGGCACATTTGATTTCTTTTACCTGTACTGTACTTACATCAGTATACAGTAAGTGACTTTACTCTCTAACTTTACAGACTTGCATAATAACATCCTTCATATAAAACGTGCTCAAGAATTGTCACAACCCAGCATGACAGTTCTTACTTCAAAGTACCTGCACTTCTCTGCAAAGACAAGATTTCATCAGAAATACAGTGCCAAAATAGATCACTTTACATATCGGAAATGTTGTAAACAGCTGTGACGAGAGGGGAGGGGCCGAGAGCCGTGGGAACGGAGCGAGGCCGGTGGAGTAAATGATAATGAGCGACACCTGCACCACTCACCGGTCTCGAGTCCCACGGAGGAGCTCCGGAAGGATAAAAGGAGGAGTTACGACAGTGAAAGACGAGAGAGGACCAGGCCTGGACTTTATTTTGTGTTTTGTGTGCAGTCGTCCGTGAGGGGCTGCCGCTTTACTTTCATTTTGTGTTTGTTTATTTTATTAAAGTTTTCTTTAGATGTTCGCCGGTTCCCCCTCCTTCTTCCCGTGACTACGAACTTTGTTACAACAGCATTCTAATTTTATAATATTTATATTATATTTAATATAGTAGCTGTTTAAGGATAGTTTTATTCAGTTTAGGATAATTAAACCGTTTACTAAAGTCTGATTAACACTAAGAAAGTCTTTCTATAACAGACTTACTGTCAGGCTGGTCTGTTAATGCCACAGGAGTATTTAAACATTTCATGTTAGAATGAAATCAAACAAGTCCAACAAACCCACTATATTCAAAACCACTGAACAGAGCGCGCATGGAACAGGTGGAGTGCATCTTTGGTCAGTTTTTAACCCAGAAGTCCAAAATGTCAATATAGTCTGTTATCGTTACAGCGACATAATATAAAAGGACACAGTAAAATTGTCTTACATGTGCATAAGGACCCATTTTCAAATCAGTCTCAATATAATTTTCAGTTAAATTAGGATATTTACATGAGGAATGCAATACTCCCATTGTTTAGAAGTCACACTACTTTTCAGATTAAAACTTTTGATTCTGAATCATAATCGTCTTAATGCATCTTACAGCATTTTATGTTATGCAAACGAACTGAAATCAATTCTTTGATAATCAACAGGCAGGTCCACAAGAAATCTTTAGATCTTTCTGCACTTTCTGTGTTGATTATGTGAGAAAAAAATTAATCCCAATATTTAATACATACAAGTGGCAGAGAGTGAGCAGAAATCTGCTGAACTTCTGAATTCTGTGGACACAGATTCTGTGTGGACCTGCAGAAATCCAAACCGGTTTGCGATCAAAGTGCATCTAAAGAAAGAGAGGAAAATGGCATTTCACGTTCTAGTGGAAACGCTCAGGCAGAAGAACATCATTGCATTATAAAACCTGCCCGCGGGGGAAGACCAGCTCCGGGTCCTTGAGGGGGTGCTTGTGGGTATGGACATGAATATGATGGCACCGTGTTTGGCAGAGGAGCACCGATGCTCTGAGGGTTGTAAGGCATGGCTGATGGTTGAGATGTCGGTGCAGGTCTTACATGAGCTGGAGAACCATTAGCTAGCCTTTGGAAAGGTGCGGTGGAGTTATGGGTCTCCTGAGGTTGTGAGGGCTCATTAGAGGAACTCTGAGGAAGATGAACACCCTTCAGCACCATCTCCTGGAGCTTATCGATCTTCACACGCCTCAGATGTGCCAGCTTCCTCTTGCTCTGGTAATCATCAATGAAGCTGTCCAGAGGCAAGGATCCATCCAAGAATGAATCGGCCATGTTCTACGAAACACGTGGGAGAATCTTAGGACATTGTACATGGTGTAAAAATCAGTTATGCATTTCTGAAAACGTGGACAATGTTGATACCTCTGTTTCTTCTTCGATCTTGGCTCCCTCGGTTTGCAAAAGAGCCAACAATGTGTCTAGTGAACGATTTCCTGAAAAAAGATCCAGTTTAAAACATGAATGTGTGTAAAATTGCTTCAATATTTCATCAGTGGCATCCAGTTGTACTACATTAGCAGTTAGAAAGACAGTCACATTAATATTGCAATCTCTAATTGGACAGTCGTCTGAGAAATAGTTATTTTGCATTTTAAGTAATGCGTCTGCTCAAATAATAATGGGTCATGGAGGAACAGTTCACCCAAAAATGAAAATTAGCTGAAAATGTGCTCACCCTCAGGCCATTCAAGAAGAACATGAGTTTGTAGATTTGGGGAAATGTAGCATTCCATCACTTGCTCACCAATGGATCCTCTGCAGTGAATGGGTGCCGTCAGAATGAGAGTCCAAACAGCTGATAAAAACATCACAATAATCCACACCACTCCAGTCCATCAGTTAATGTCTTGAAAAGCTGTGTTTTAAGAAACATATCCATCAAGATGTTTTTAACTTCAAACCATTGCTTCTGGCTAAAATACCAGTCCATACAAATAATAACACTTCCTCCAATGAAAAAGTCCTCTCACATCAAAATACATTTGCTTAGAACTGATTTGGACTGTAAACAGTGCTTGATCTGTGCTCCTGATTCAGATGAGATGACTTTCACTGGAGAAATAAATCATATGGATAGAAGACAAGTATTTTAGCCAGAAGCAATGGTTTGAGGTTAAAAACATCTTGATGGATTTGTTTCTTACAAACATGCAGCTTTTCTCTTCACAAGACATTAACTGATGGACTGGAGTGGTGTGGGTTACTTGTGAGGCTTTTATCAGCTGTTTGGAGTCTCATTCTGATGGCACCCATTCACTGCAGAGGATCCATTGGTGAGCAAGTGATGGAATGCTACATTTCTCCAAATCCGTTCTGATGAAGAAACATACTAATCTACATCTTGGATTGCCTGATGGGGAGTAAATCTTTAGCAAATTTTCATTTTTGGGTGAACTAATAATTGAGACAGTGCTGTAAGCATTTTGCATTGCTTTCATAGAAATACTGTACCGGATAGTGATCAAACAGACCCATAAAGACCACAGGTCTAATAATAAAAGGAGTGTTTTACATAATGTGGATAAGTTTACATCAGTGTAGAGTTTCTTTTGGAAATTATTCAAGCAGTCTTTGTATCAGTGTAATTCTAGTCTATCTGCTGTATCCTACTGACCCCGATAAACTCACTTTCAAAACTTCTGCTCGGCTAAATTTACTCTGACAACACAAGATAAAAGGCTTCTTAAAATAAATCATGGAGAAAACTGGATAAATACAGACCACAAAATACAATCCTTTAACACTGACGTGTGTGCAGATTTAATCTGAGATGATCAGTATCAGCTGCAACTCAAGAGAGCAGCAAATAAATAAATGGGGCAGTTGTGGCCTAATGGTTAGAGAGTCAGACTTGTAACCCAAAGGTTGTGGGTTTGAGTCTCGGTACCAGCAGGGATTGTAGGTGGGGGGAGTGAATGACCCCCACCTAGGTGAAGGTGCTCTCTTCCACCTTCACGACTGAGGTGAGACCAAACCCCCAACTGCTCCACGTGCGCCGCAGCAAAAATGGCTGCCCACTGCTCTGGGTGTGTGTTCACAGTGTGTGTGTGTGTGCACTTTGATGGGTTAAATGCAGAGCACAAATTCCCAAGTATGGGACACGATACTTTGCCACATGTCAATTTCACTTCACTCACTTATAAAGAGGAAGCATTTTGTGACCAAACAGGTTCACCAGGATGCTTTATTGTTTGACACCAAAGGAGGAAGACAAAAAAGGTTTGGATAAAAGAAAGATGTGCTCTTTTATGTTCCTGTCTAAACTAGAATATTTGAAGTTTGACGGGTAAAAATGATTTGGATACTGAGGTCATGCTTAAAAAATGTCTGAACATCATGCATGCATGTGTCAAATGCTGCAGGATGTTTTCTCTGCGCTAACTTTACTTTTCTTCATCAGTTTTGGTGAGACCCTTGAGCAAGGCACTGAACCCTCAACTGCTCCCCGGCCGCCACAGCAAAAATGGCTGCCCATTGCTCCGGATGTGTGTGTGTGTGTGTGTGTGTGTGTGTGTTCACTACTCACTGCTGTGTGTGTGCACTTGGATGGATGAAATGCAAAGCACAGATTCCAAGTATGGGACACGATACTTGGCTACACGTCACGTCATTCACTCACTTTTTTTAAATTGCCTAAAATGTCCAGGTTAGGGTTAGTCCTTCTGCATTATATGCACGTGTATTTCAATTGCTTTGACGGTCTCTGTAAATCCCGCCTTCTCACACACTATGATTGGTCAATTATGTACAACGCCTACACCAGGGGTGTCCAACCCTGCTCCTGGAGAGCTACCGTCCTGCAG